CATGGACCCCAGCCCCAGGGACCCTAGGCATGTGTTACGCTAACTAATGCCAAGAGGTGTCTGTGCGTGTCTCTCTTCAATTTCACTGGGACAGGCAGGCACACAGAATGGGGCTTTTGGAGCTAATCAACAGAGTAAGTGGTTTAAGAAGTTTGTACTAATGGAAAGAGGCCTTTGTTTTGCTAATCGGGTGATAAAGATTCTTATCAGCTCCTGACTGGCTTGCTTGTCTGTCAGTTTGCTGCAGAGAGTATGACAAAGCATGAAGGGAGATTGAAAAGCTCCGTATCATCAACAGATACATGCACTGCGCCCCACCCCTTGCCTCAGAGTGCTAGGCCAGGGCTGGGAGCTGACAACATTCCCACCCCTTGAGCAGCCAGTAGGGAAAAGCCTGGGACTATGCAGGCAGACATCCCTAATGAGAGAGTCCTGCCAGGGCCTGGCCATGCCCCCTCAGCTCAGCTCCCTGCAGAAGGGAAGGGGGGGCTGCTCTAGCACCTACCAGCCTCTAGCCTGAGCCACTGCAGGCATGTGCCTGAATTCCCTCAGTCCAGAGAGAATGTTTGTCCAGTTTCCAACTGGTTCAGCCTAGCCAGGTTAGACTAACCTGTAAAAATTGAATCAATTTAGGCTCAGGCTTTTTGAATGCTTGTCCCTAGCCTTGGGATTAAATTTACAGGAGTTTAGTTCATTTGTATCCCTGCAAGGTCCTAACCGCTGATTCATGCTTCTGAGTGGCAACTTCCCTTCCCTTTAAAAGTTGTTAAAAGTTGCCCTATTTTTCTCAAATCCAAAATGAGGTTTTTCCCCTCCATTTAACATGGTTTGGAGTCAGGGTAGGAGCTGAAGCTTCAAGCACTGCCTGACTTTCTGCTTGCCCCTTCCACTGCCTCCCCGCAACTGCTGCTACTTAACCTCCAGCCCAGGGCATGGACTACATGGTTGCCTCAGCCCATCCTGGCCCAGTAGCAGTGGTGGCAGTGACAGCTTTGGCCTGGGTTCTGGCTCCAGGGCCAGAGCCGCCATCACCACAACAGCTGCAGTATGGTTGGGCTGTGGCTGTTGCTGGAGCAGTGGCAGCCATGTGCTCCATGCCCCAGTTTGGAGAAAACTGGAATCATGCTGGAGCCAGAGGATAATTGGCAGTGGGGGCAAAAGCGGTGAGGAAGGGCAGGTGCCAGGGTGCAGGCATGGAGGAGGCAAGTATGAGGGGGAGAGGGAATGGGGGGGCAGGCATCACAGTGGGGAGCAAGCACTGGGCATGCAGGCTTGGGAGGGCAGACAGTAGGGGAGGCAGGCACCAATGAGGCAAGTGGTAAAGGGGACAAGCAGTAGGGGGCAATATGTTGTGGGGAGATAAGGGGCAGAGGTCTGGCTACTTGACTCTCATGGGCTAGGGACAGAGATTACACAGAAACCAGTTTAAGTAATCAGAAACTGGTTTAAACCTGTAATAGAACAGACATTCAGTGCACATAAACCAGTTTGAAAATAGCCAAAACCAGTTTGAGATAAACCTGGTTGAATGTAGTACAGGCAGTCCTCGGACTTAAGACACAATTGGCTCCTGAAAACTGCATCTTAAGTTGAAATGTTGTAACTTGGAACCAATTTTCTCCTAAGAAACAATGTTATAAATGGGGGATTGGTTCCTGAACCAAGGCCCGATACCCTATTTTCACCAAAAATACCCCAGAATTTTGTACTTGATCAATTATAGACGAGTAATATAGCTACATTAATGTATTTAAACTGTAAATAGCAATCATATTGATTTGGAAGGACTTCTTTGAGGTGACTTTGCTGGACTTTTTGAAGGGCTCTTGGTTGGACTTTTTGAAGGGTTCTTGGCTGGAGTCTTCTCGGGAGTCTTGGGTGCAGGTTTTTCTGGAGTCTTGTCTGCTTTCTTAAAGAAAGAGTCCAAGGAAGTTTGGACAGATGTTCTCCAGGGAGATGAATGACGCAGCACACTTGTTCGTTCGCGTGATGTCACATTGGATCAAGCGTTGTAAAGTTGAAACTGATGCCATAAAGTTGAAACAGGGTGTCAATTTATAAACATTGTAAGTGTGAAACGTTATAACTCAAAACATTGTAAGTTGACAACTGCCTGTATCAGACTTAACTGATTTGGGTCGAACCAGTTTATCCAGTGTCTGTCCCAGACCCCTTGCTGGTTTATATTAAATCAGACTCACCCAGCATCCCGGCGTGCTCCCTGGGTTAGACAGAGCTCTGTTCTCTGCTCCAGTGAACTGGGTTGACCCCTCCCCTCTGCTCTTTAGCCTGAGCAGGGGCAGGGTGTGACCAGATGCTGGCCAGCCATGGCCCTGAGGCAAATTCCTCCCTCCATCCTCTCTCCCCCTTCCCCCCACCCCCTTCACTGGCAAACCCGGGGGTTTGCTGCCTTTTGCCAGCCCCAGCTGCACCTCTATAGCTTGCCTGGATCCAGGCAGGGATGGGGTTAATTCTTCCCTCTGTCCCCTCTCTGCCCCAGAGCCCCTGGGGGTTTGGCTGCAGTCTCTTTGGCTTGGGATGGGATTAACTCCACAGCCTGTCCGAAGGGGGACAGGGGGAGAGGCAAGCTAATCCCCTGTGTGCAGATCCAAGCCCTGCACCTGTGAGCCCAGAGCTAAGTCCTGCAGGAACAGACTGAAAGATGGGAAATGTTGGCAAAGACCTGATAATCATCACACATGTTGGAGATATAGTTAAGGGAAGTTGCAGACAGCTTCACCAAAGAATGCAGAGAGCTACATACCTAAACAAAGCCTCTCTGATTGCTTGGCTGTAAGGAGACACTCTCCCCTCAGGATTAGTAAGACTAATGTTTATCTTCCTGGTTTACATATTAAGTTAGACTAAGTTGTGTATGCTGTGTTTTACAAGGCTGTATCTTAGTTCAGGCAAAGGTTTTTGGTAGTTCCCTGTTGTATGCTTCGGAATTTGCTGTGTTCAATACATGCATGGTTCAGAGAAAGGACTTTTTCCCCATCCCCACTCCTCAGTCTGGCAGCAGCTCCCCGTCCCTTCTGCCCCCCATATGCTGGTGGCTGGTATCCTGTGTGTTGTGCTAGCCCCAGCCGATGCCTGGCCATGCCCCCTCAACTCAAGCAGGGAGGGGTGAGTGCCTTGGAGGGCATCTCTCTTTCCTTCCCTTTGGCAGTGGCTGGCATGCATGCTCTGGTGCCCCCCATCTTCTAGCTTGAGCCATTGCAGGCATGTGGCTGCATTTCCTGGTTTAACAGAGAATGTCTGTCCAGTTATTAATCAGTTTAAGCTGTGCAGCTTAGACTAACCTACAAAGAGTGAATCAATTCAGGCTCGGGCTTTTTGAATGTCTGTCCCTAGCCCTAATGTCTACCTCCCCTACCTGTCCTCTCCCATTGCTTTTCCCACTGCAGTGGTGGGGGGGGGAGAGGCATGAATTTAAGATGACCCCTGAATAGTTAGATTCTATATGTAGGTAACTGTAACAAATTTATACATTTTCCGTGTATAGGATCTAATTGTTGTGGGGTTGCCTTCAATTTAGTTAGCTTGGATTCCGGTAAATAAACTACATCTGTTCACAGCCTTAGATAAACTGGATCTGTAAGAAATGTAATATGTACTAGCTACTTTCAGGTCTCTTTAATAATTCTAAACAATAAACTTGGGTGATGTTACTGTGAATTTTCAAAAGTAGTTAAACCATTTTTGGCCAGATTTTTAAAGCTATTTAGGCACTCAGTAGGATTTCAGAAGCATCTAAGCACCTAAATCTCCGCCTGCCCATGCTTACCCCCTTAGTACCCCCAGGGGTATGCGTACCCCTGGTGGACAACCCCTGATCTAAAGTAGTTGAAGGCATATGGACAAACATTTCTGATCACCCAGCATTCTCAGCACATTCTTCGGTTCTTTCCTGTCACACTCTGCACCCAAGCAATTTGACATCAACGTAGTCTATATTTGACTGTTAAATTAGTTATAACGTTCTCTTATATCTTCTATCTTGCAGCACAAGTTTCCCTTTTTAAAATATATAATCTGTAGTATACTCTGAAGCAAATGATACATAGAAGACAACCAGTCCTGTATATTATTTGATCTGAGACTCTGAGCTCTTCTATGGATTTTCATTCTTTTCTTCCTTCCTGCTATGTGTATAAATAATGAAGTTTGTTCAATTGCCTGTTTGTACCCACAAAGCAGACATGTGTACACAGTCATGGTAATGTGTGTGAAGGAGGCCCAATGTTCCATATACATTTTTCCAAATTGATCAGGCTTTGTTTACCAAACACAAATATGTCATAGGATAAGCCAACAGGATTTCAGCTGTCCGAGTATACATAAAATATATATTATTTTTTTTTCTTTCTTTATATAAAATGCAGCATCTCTAACTTAAATTATAGTAATATATCTTAGTAACTGAGAATATCAATCACATGATAGGATTTACTTTTGTGCCACGGCTATATTTTTAACATGGGAAGCTTTCAAATAAGGTATATTCTGTTGATATAATGAAAGCTATGAGAGATATTGTCTAAAATGTCTTCAGTAGATAGTCTGGTTAATGCGACTGAAATAATCAATTCTGTCAAACCATGCTTAGTATGACAAATGTTGTATGAGACTAATTTTGGTATTCATGCTTTTGATAAAGAGCTTAATTTCATTTCTTGTAGAGATGGGGAAAACCACTATTTTTATACAGATTGAAAAATAGCAGTTATTTATAGTGCACAAGAGAACTTGCCTATTAATTAAAAGCAAATGAAATAAATCCAAGTTTTATAATGTAATACACCAAGTAATGTGTTCTGTATCAGATGGTCCTATACCAGTTTTCAAATGAAAACCTTGGCAGATACAGTGAGAGGAACCAAAACATTTTTTCCTTTTTTTTTTCTTCTTTTTTTAAAATTTTGCTGGTCTGCTTTTTACCCGGAACATCTCAGGTTCACTGTCTTGCCTTACAATTCATTTACTTTTGTCTTTTCAAGAAAATATCAAAGAAATTTTTGGACAAACCGTTGTTCATCATCATATCCCCTTCAATTGGGACTGTGAGTTCATTCGACTGCACTTTGGACACAACAGGAAGAAGCATCTTAACTACTCAGAGTTCACTCAGTTTCTGCAGGTCAGTTGTTTATTTTGTCAGTGAAAAATTGTTCAGCATTGATGTAGCATGGGTGACAGAGATGACATTATAAATGTTAAAGGTAGGATTAATTGCATTGTCTTTTAAACTATCCTCTTATTGTTGGTGTCAAATTAAATTGTGAGTTTCTAATCATGTTTTTGCTTGACTGCAAGAATACAGCTAATTTCAGTGGGAGAGAGACTGGGTACTGACTGCCTCCGATGGCTGTTACTCTGTAGCTTACCTTCCTACTTTATTATACTGCTTTATGTTGCTTTTAATTCAGTAAGTTCTATCCTAATACTTACTATACATTTTCATATTAGCTAGAATTTCACACTCAACATAATTCCAGAGTTAGCCTATATTATTAAACTGTTTGAGGCATAAATCCATCCCTATGCTGTAGTTTAGGATAAAGAGATGCTTCAGGCACTGAAAATATAATTTGATTAAGAAGGTTTCTGAAGTCAGTAGCGTGTATGGAAGATCTATTGCAAATTGGGCAATGGAATCTGTTTAATACAATCTCTGACAATTATTGTAGTTACAATGCCCTTTGAGAAAAACTTAGACTTAAGCTTTTCACATTGATTACCCTGAGACATTGCTAGCACAAGTAGTAGACATTGTCTGACACAGGCAAAATTGCCAATGAATTATATTTTTATTGAGGGCCTAGAGCAAAGTGATGGATGACTTTTTTCTCTCCTAATGGTGCTCCCATGTGGACTACATTAAGCTTCTATCTTGTCTCTTCTACTCTTCCTTTAAACAAGACTTTAGGAGACAAAGAGATGTAATGTAGACTGGTTTCTTCATTATGCTAATGACCCAGTGTTAGGAGTATATTCCCCTTTACCCCCTTTTCTTCCACCTACTCCTCAGTTAGATTTGGCTGTGGCATATTCAGCTAATTTAGCAAGCCAAATCCCAATCCCAATACTGGCAACCCCATTGCAATTTAAACTCAGGTTTGCCTGGATTAGATAACAGTAGGTCTAGGAAGGAACCAGCTGCCTTGGTACAGTTGGTGTGCGCCACAAAATTGTGCCTAATTTTTTATTGCTCTTGATTAGAACTGTAGCATTACTTTGGATCTGTACTTGCTTAACAGCTGAAGATGAGGGTATGATTTATCATTCCGGACTAGAAGAAGAGAGAATCTGTTTGTTTATTGGATATAGAATTTACTAGCATGACCCAGACCAATGTCCTCTGCAAGTTGCTACAGTGTGTTTTAGATTAAACTATTTTTTAAGGTAACTTTAAATGGCTTAAAATTCAGTGGCAAGTTGTTAAGAAGTGCTTCTCTTAGTGGCATGCTCAACCTATATTCTGAAGATTTAACCATCTTCCAGGGTTTGAGGCTCTAGATTAAATTGTAGCATTTAATTCTGAGTAGAGTATAAAATGGCCTATCCGTGAGATTGGCGTTGAGAGAGATCATTGAGTATCTTTTGCTAACAGCCCTTTGATTTTAACTATGAGGAGGTGGCAGATATGGCACTGGGTCTTGAAATATGAAATGTGCTTCCCATTTTCATTGAACAAAGCCTGCATTTTTTGGCTATTCAGCCAGGTTTCTCTAACATAGAAAAGATTATTTGATAAGCAGAAGTGGTATGGAGACATTACAGGTTTGATTTGGAGTTGACAGGGATGGAATATTTATGTTGTTTTATTAAACTATTGGGGGTTACAGTGGACAATAAACTGAATGAGCCAACAGTGTGCCCTTATTGCCAAGAAGGCTAATGGCATACTAGGCTGCATTAGTAGGAGTGTTGCCAGCAGATTGAGGGAAGTGATTATTTCCCTCTATTTGGCACTGGTGGGCATGTAAAAATGAGCATACACATGCATTTCCCTGGGGTTGAATGGCAGCAAGACTTTCTTGCTAGGAGGGTAGTAAAGCACTGGAACAGGCTACCCAGAGAGACTGTTGAATCTCCATCTGTGGAGGTTTTTAAGACCCAGCTAGACAAAGCCCTGGTTAGGATGATATAGTTGGGGATGATGGTGGTTTGAGCAGGGGTTTGGATTAGATGACCTCCTGGGGTCCCTTCTGACCCTAATTTTCTATGGTTTTATTATTCTATTGTAATTTCAGTTGCATAAAAAATGCACACATGCTCCTAGAGATGCAGCTGAAATCAGTGGGTGTAAGAGAATAAGCTCCTAATATGTTACTTCTAATCATCTTATTTTAGGAGCTACAGTTAGAACATGCAAGACAAGCCTTTGCCATAAAAGACAAAAATAAAAGTGGAACGATCACTGGATTGGACTTCAGTGATATCATGGTTACCATTCGTTCACACATGCTCACTCCATTTGTGGAAGAAAACTTAGTGTCAGTAAGTGTAAAGAAAAAATGTCTTTAATTTAACTGAGCTCTGTTTTATGTCTCTGTACCTTGTAACTCCTTATTTCCCTCTCTATTAGCAGTGCTGGTAATATGATGACATTCTCTCCTGAGAGAGAACTTGTGTACAAACTGGTGATTTTGTGGAAGTAATATTAGTAAAGAGCTGTTCTATGTGACTGGCAGCAAGACTATTTGTTGTTAGCAATTGAATGTTTTATTTCTTTGTAAGTAAAGCCTTAACTGTACCTTGAAGTGCAATAGTTTTATGATCAAAAACACAAGGTGAACTGGATTTTTCAAAATCTTACTTATATGTAGCCCTGGTGGCCTTTAATGGGGCTATTGTGAAAGATGGGGGTTTTTTGTTTTGTTTTGTGGCATAATACTCAAGGCCTCATTTTGGCTAAGCAGTTAAACACGTAAGAAGTCTCATTGAAATTGATGGGGACTACTACATGGTTAAAGTTAAGCATGTATTTGAATTCTTTGTGGGGGGTCTTAACTTGGTAAAGATTTGTATTGAGTAAATTACCTTACAATTTAAAATTAACACATCTTACTATAGACAATTCCTTTACCTAAAATAAAACTAGCATAAATTTCACCACTGAAGAAATTATGTCATGTTCTATTAACAATGTTGGACAGCAATCTAATTCTGTAATTACTTTCTGAAGATTTTAGTTGTTTCCTATCGTTCATTTTGAATCAAAGACATTAATATACTGGCTATCTGATTATGTCCTCATCCCTACTACTGCTTTAAAAAATGAAAATCTGCAGTGGTTGAAGTATTTTTTTTCTTGTATGTTTACAAGATGTGGACGTTGGCTTGTAGTAAATATGTTTTTGGGTGACCAAGGGTTGCAGAGGTCTCATTAAAAACCTGAACTCATATTAGGGCTTGTTTTATCTTTCCATTATTTATTTTTAAGGTAGCAGGTGGAAGTATTTCACACCAGGTCAGCTTCTCCTATTTCAATGCTTTTAATGCCCTGCTGAATAACATGGATCTTGTTAGAAAAATATACAGTATTATAGCAGGTACAAGGAAAGACACTGAAATCACAAAAGGTAAAATACATTTACTATTTCTTTATTAATTTTCAGATCAATAAAAGTTGATATTTGATACTGTGCATGGTCCAAGACTAGTCAGAAGTGATTGTAACATTGAAGTTCAGTGTTGTTATCAGTGTTTCCATTTTGATTCTGCATGTAGTTCTCCTGCACTGTTTTGGATTTCACAGGCCAGCAAGGATTTCCAGCTGTGTCATTATAGAGTAGAGTTTTCAGGGTTTGGGCAGAAGCTTTATCTGGCCCTGGTAGCTTGAGGGTATGGCTCTAATGTGTTTTCTCCTTGACATAGGGATGCCATATGAAAATACCTGAACTCTCTCTCATACCATAAGTAGTACAGTTACATTACAATGGTATTCTTCCAGACTAATTCATCCTGTTGAGCTAGTCACATTAGTGTGGCACTCAACCCAAGACACCTGGCTTTCAGTACATGAGTAAAGTATTTCAGCATGTCACTGCATTGTATTCTGTGGACAAACCCTTTGAAAATATACAGCATGTGGGAAAATTATTTTAGCTTAAAAATCCATCATCAAAAGCTTCGCATTTCCTGTTAGTTGTTCCTCTGTGATACTGTAGCGACTGTTATTTCCCCAGTTTTAATAGTTGCTAACCATTTGGTGGCATGATAGTTCTAAATAGGATTTTTGTCCGCACAGCATTGCTGAATGTTAACCATGTGTTTCTGTTTAGTGGTTTGAGCTGATCAGCTCTCTGTAGCCATTTTATAACAGTAATTTGCCTAGGTGGAGAGACCTGTTGGTCATAACGCTGATAAAAAAAAAACGTTATCTGGTCCTTTTTCCTCCCACTTTTGCATGCAGTATAACGTTTCAGGGTATATTGTACCACCTAGGCTGCTTTCACATTCTCTATTCTTAGAGGGTAGCATGGGATATCTACCCAGATTTTCTAAGATGCAGTGATATCTGTCTGCTTTTGCCTATTTTTGTAGGTGTTGCTGCACAAACATGACTCATGTACTTTCTGTCCTGAAAAAAATTATGTGAACACTATTCAGCTAAATGATCAGAGGAGCGTCATGATGTTACAAAAACAAGTATATCGATAGGTAGTTGCACCCAGACTTGGGTAAAGGAGTGCTGTGGGAAGAAGGAACCCTGGAAAGATTGGTTCAGCTGTCAAACTGAAATTAAAACCATGTTCTATCATGATCTGCTTTTGCAGTAGCTTTGTTACAAAAAGAACTACAAATATTGTGTCCAATCTTGCTGGCCTTGCTTATATCAGAATTTCTGAGGACTTCAGTGGGGACTGCTTACCATAAATGGGATTAGGCTTACTTTATGCTTCATACTGCTATTTTGAAATAGGTTTAGTACTATTTTTGGTTGCTTTTGTTTCTTTTCTAGATGTTGTTCCTGAGTAGCCTGTCGAATGATAGCTCTTAATATTAGTAAAGCATATTTGAAGTGAAAACTGATCCAGAATCAGTTAACTTGTTTCTTTTTCCTGCTTCCAGAGGAATTTACCCAGTCTGCAATCAAATTTGGACAGGTTACGCCATTGGAAATTGATATCCTCTACCAGCTTTCGGATTTATACAGTGCTACAGGGTAATTTTGTAACTATCATCTTAATTCTATTAATAATAAGAATTATAATATTATTTCTACTGTAATGTTTATACTTAACCCAAAATAGATCTGTTTCATTTTGTAGTGTTTCGTTACTAATAATTAGCTGATATGTGTTGCATAGTATAAATATGAATACCAAACACATTCACCAGTCACAGGCTAATTAGTATATTGTAACATACAGCATATTATTATGCTGATAGTGTAACTTTAAGTAGAGGGGCTGTCTTGGGTAGAGTATTGCATGTGAGATATATTATGAGGTATGGATGAGGTATGGAATGGCTACTCATTTAATAAATGCAGTTCTTGTGCTGCCAGGTGCCAAGGACTCGATCCTAGGTAGTGCTGAATTCTTTTTCTCCCATTTATGGACAAGGAAAGTAGAAAAGGTTCATAGTTCCCAGGACTGGATTTCTCTACAGTAGTTTCTAATCTATTTAGGGGGCTATATGAATGGGGGAGGGGGCAAAGGAAAGAGGTAGCTGTTTGTTTTTCAGTCTAACAATGGTATTACTTTTCTTGGACTTTCCTAAAGGCGTTTGACTTTGGCAGATATTGACAGAATAGCACCTTTGGCGGAAGGTGCCTTGCCTTACAACATAGCAGAACTTCAGAGGCAGGTAGGTAGAAATAATAATAGCTATAATAAATTGTAAAAATGCTTATGTGAAAGTGTTTGTAAGACTGCTGAATACTTGTTCATTAAAAGTAACATTATTTTCTCCTGGAGGACTTCTTATACGGATCAGAATCTCTGATTTTGTATAAGCATGGACAGAAATCTATTCCTAGAAGGATGAAATTTAAAAAAAATAGAAAAAAAAAAGCAAAAATACCCTTTGTGAAACATGTCTTTCATTGAATAGTTTTCTGACAAGATTTTGGGCTCTATACTGAAGGAAATTCTCAGTAATTTGAAAGACCATGTACTTAGATTTCTTACTGTTAAAACCATTTAAAAACATATCTGCTAATGCTTTGAAACACTTCTGGAAATCTCAGAGCTTTGTTTTATTTCTTTCAATTTCATATTAAACTTTACCATAATGTTGTAAACATACCTGTATGTACATTATGTTAACTCTTTACTCCATCTGACGCCTTTCTTTGCTCTTATAGAAATTTCACATACCTTAAATATAGGTGTCCTATATAGCATGTTAGGCTCAGACATTCATTTGTTTCATATTTTGAAAGTTTTCACAACAGGGAGAGCTAGAAACGTAAGTTTTGATATACAAGTGTTCATGTATATGTTAAATGAAATAGGCTTTCAGTAGCAGTCATTGGATGCTGAGGACTTTTAAAAATATGATTCTTAAATTCCAGAGAAAAGAGAGCTCACATTCTGAGATTCTTCATTGTGTTCTTATGTCAAGATATTTCTCAAGAGTTGTCCCCATGTGCATGTACATCTCTAGCTGTAATTAAATGCCAGTTCAAAATTGAGCTAAGTGGCCTGAACCAGGATATTAGTTGAAGCTCAAGTGCTGCCAATGCTAGAGCAAATAATACAGTGGGATTCTGTTGCTTCTAGAAGTGCATTATGCAGCTAGAGTGTTTTCAGTATGATGTTCTTACTAAGCTATATCAGGAGGCATTAGTTTGAGCTATCAACACTCAAGTTAACACTGCAGTGAAAACAGGCAACTGAAAGAGTTGCATTGAAAATTCAGAAAGGCATATGTGACAGGTTACGTGGTTATATAATTGGCCCCAAATTCAGTTATGAAAAAACAAAGAAAATGATGCAGCACCTGATTATGTTATTGGTGTGGATTCTTTTATTTATGCTTTCAGTCTATAAAATCTTAATAAACTTAGTTCCATATAAAGCTGTACCATCTAAAGTAAGCCTTTCAGGAAGGTATGGCTGAGTTTTATTTACCACATGGCTCACATCACGTTAGCTGCTTTTGGAACAATGATTTGGGTTTTCTATGTTTGCTGGTATAGAGAAAACCAATCTTATGAATTGAGAAGAATATATTAAAGTCTTTTTATTATCCAGGTTAGATATTGAATACATATGAGGATGGTACTGTCAAGTGAAAAAGAAATGATTTCAGATACATGTCCCAGTGACAATTTTTTTTTGATTAGCTTCCTCTCCAGGATGCAAACCTATATTCTGTGTGTGTCAGTCTAATGGCCATGTGATTTGCTATCTCTTGGAGGGGTGGGGGTGGAAACAGGAAAAAAAAACTTTTCAGAAATCTCTTGACTTTTGGAAATATCAAGGATTTTAGAAAGCCCCTTGCCTCTTTTAGCTCACTTTGATTAAAAACCATGTGCATCTGAAATCCCTATGAGCAATTACATCCACAAGAGAGACTCTGGAAGTCTAAGATACTGTTGGAGTGATGTTGTAGCCCTGATGGTCTAGGAAATATGCAAGAAGCAAAGTTTTTGTGGGTGATATCTTTTACTGGACCAATTGCATGGTTGGGATACATTTAGACCAGTGACCAACAACCTTTTTAGACTCGAAGCACCCTACCAACATTTTTTGAAACTTAGGAGTATTCCATTTTAAAAGTAATTAAATATATCATTCATATTGTAATATAAACATTTTACTTATTAATTAGTATGTAGTATTTGATTTGACATTGTAATTATATTCACCCCACCACACTGTGCACCACCTGCAGAGCCAGATTGGGAAGCAACTGTGGCAGGAGTGTATACTCTTGCCACAGCCCTTGCTGGTCCAACTGTGCATGGTGTCTCCCAGAAACAGAGGCACACAGGGCAGATGGAACCATTCGGCATGCTTCAGTTTCCAAGGGGTATGTCAGAGCTCAACTGAGAAGCAGCTGCAGGAGAAAGCTGCGCCTGCCTGCATTACATTACATATTCCATTTTTGTCACAGCTCTTTCTAGTCCACCTCTGCTGTTTCTCCTGAAAATTGAGGTGTATAGGACAGTTCTGCCTGGGGATAAATGCTGCTTCATGAAGTAGAACTGCCTTGCATGCCTCTGTTTTGAGGAGGCATGTTGGAGTGGAACCAGAAAGAGCTGTAGCAGAAGTGGCACGCTTGCCTACTTGATACAGGCAGCTATGCCTTTCTGCTGCAGCCACTTCTCAGCTCCAACATGCCCCCTGAAAACAGAGGCACATGGGATACTACAACCTTGTCATGGTGGTGCTGGTGTTGCGGCATCCCCAGAAGGTTCTTGCAACACCCCAAGCTGCCACAGTGCCATGGTTGAGAATCACCGACTTAGGCAAACTTTCAAATACAGTTAATTCTTCTTGAGGTCTGAGGAAAAAGCAGGCACAGCAAAGACTAAAAAACGTCTGTAGGGCTGTTTAATTGGAAAAGAGAGAAATTCCCAAGGGTAACTGGCAAGGAAATCGCAGAAAATTTGGAAGTCTAAGTCTTGCATTGTTGAAGAAATTTTAAATCTGCTGAGCTGCTGTGACTGAGGTGTGGTCCCACAGGGGTTATTATAAAGTCTTGAACAGCATAAAATGTAATGAAATTCAGTACATGAACTCTGTGACTTGTCATATATTTTGGTGGGTTGAATAGGCTCAGCTTCTGGTGTGTTTCCCCTTGACTGCTCTGTCACTTCCTTTTAAGTACACACATACTTAGGCTAATGAAGTAAGTGTCCAAAAATATTTGACCAGTAGCTAGCTGTTTCATCTGCATCAATCTGTTCAATCTTTTCCTCTCTTCTAGACTTCAGACAGATACTTATCTGGACGGGTGAAAATGAAAACTTTGAAAAGTACTGGTCAACAATATGGAATTGCATTTTTAAGGCGCAGCTTTGAGTTTTGGTTTTCATTAGTATCTTCATGGTGTTTCCCATCATACAGAATGTTTTAGAATGCTTTTTCATTAGACAGAATGATTTTTGTAGCTTCCAACTGTTTGTGTGGCAGGTTCCTGCCCAAGGGCGGCTGTGATGCCGCCTGGTGGCCGAGTGACTCCTGCCTGGCTCGGTCTCTATCGCACCACTCTCTTAGTTGCTTTCCTGCTGCACCTTGTTCTTACTAGAGGTTGACTGAGGCAGGCTGCCCACGGGCAGGCCTTGGAGTGAGCCTTAGTCTATTTGCAGTACTACTGATCTTTTCTGGATGCCCCACAGCCTTAATGCGATCCTTAAGCTCAGTGGGCCCTCTCAGTTGACCTGTGCCTCTGCAAGGCCCCTGTAGCTTCAAGGGTTACATGCATCTCTGTGCTCCTCCAGGGCACCCGTAGCCTTCAGGGCTCAATGTGTGGCTCCATTCCTCCCCTATACCACGCCCAAGCCTCGTGTCTGTTTTCTCTTTGATATTAACTATTTGTACACTCAGCCCCCTTGGGCTCTCGGACCTCTGGTCCTGCACACAGCCCCTCCTCTGGGCTGTCTCAGTCTCCTCAACCCTTTAGTCTGGGTCTCAGCCTTTTCCTAGGCTCCTGAATTTCTTACTGAGCCCCACTCTGTCTGTGGGCTTCTGGGTTACCGGTTCTGTAAGTAGGCCTTGAGCCTGTCACCGCAGGGCTCAAAGCTAGACTACCAGTACAAGTTAAATAAACAAGAAGCATCACAGCCCTCTAGCAGACACCTCAAACCCTCTAGGGGTTTAACATAAAACAAAGGCCACTTGCCTGTAAAACCCAGTCTTTCTCTGCCCAGGGAGCTTGCCTCTGTTCCCAGGCTTGTAGAGTTGTTTAGCTAAATCCAGGTCCCTTCAGGAGCTCTGCTGCCAGAAGCTCCTTATTTCATGTTTGCCAGAGAGAGAGAGTGCACGACTGGTTCAGGCTCTGGGCTTATCTAGCTCCTGCCTCTTTCAGTCAGGCGAGTCTCTCACTAGCCCCCTTCGCCACCTGCTAGTGCCTTTAAAGTAGCAGGCACACCCCAGTTTGAAAAAGGAGTTTGGCAAAAAAAACATTCACCCACCTAGTAGTAGTCCATTTCTACTACCTTGCCCCCTTTTGCCTCCCTTTCCTGACATGGTCTTGGCACAAAATATATTCTTCTTTAACCCTTCTACTCATGGAGTAAGACTTTCTTCCAGCCTATTCTATTTCTTTATTCTGGCTATTATTGTTTTCTAAATGCTCTTTACAAAGAGTAGTCATTTCCTTTTCTTGGTTTTCTTGAGAACAATCCTACACTGGCAGAAGGAGACTGTATTTACTATATTTTCTCATGCACAACACCCCCCCAAATAAAACATGCACCTTGTTTTTGGAAAACAGAATATATGGGGGCGGGGGAAATTTTTCTAGAGTTATGGCTGATTATGTGACATAAAGTAAGTCCTCCAGGAAATATTGAGGGTCCAGAAAGAATGGCTCCAGTAAGTTCCTAGAGCTCACTGTATCATCCAGACTGTTTCCTGGGATATCATGCTGCTTCTATGTGCTATACAAGGTTAGGTCTCAGATCCTTGCAAGGGCAGTAGCAAGACTGTTAGCATTTTACTCTGAATTGTAGTTGTATAAGTAGTGGTTTATACAAGTTCCTGTAAATAAAGTATTGTGTCAATATCACAAGCGTCATCAAAATACTGCCAGTAAATCGGTTGCTGCTTTTTGGCACAACAGTGCTCAGTCAATAGCTATGGCTGTGAAAGGGTTATCATAGGACCACTGCATGGCATGAACAGTGTCTCCAGGCTTGCTTCTTTTATAGTGAGGAAAACTGCTTTCCTACTTAAAACTTGCATCCCAATTTTGCTGAATACTGGGGAGGAAGTGCATGTTGTATGTAAGAAACTATGGTAGATTTTCCACTTCTAGACTTTTTACTTAGTTTATCTTCCACAGCATAAAACTTAATAAGTATCTTAGACAAGAGAAAGAAGACCTTTCTTATTGGATTAGACTATTGTGCCAAGGGAGCTATGCTTGGAAGGGGAAGTGGACTCTCTCCCCTGAAAAATGAGAACAGTAACATAAGTCTCTATCTGTTTCTATAGACTTTGCATGAATGAATATTAGTCTCCTTTCAGCCATGTTTGCTGATGGGTTTTATCACTGTAGAAGACTTTTTTTTTTAACTTAGCAGCTGAATATCATGGTGGTTACATTTGGATGACAGCTACAGTAATTTTCTGTTTATAAATATTCATGATCTGAAAGCTATAGCATTAATTATACTCATTTACATATCCATCTGAACATACAAGTGAATCACAAACTATAGTGAATATTCATTTAATAGGATAAAAGTGGCATTTTCTTCACAAGAATTTGAGTTTAACATCTGGTGACGTATTCATTAGGATTTAAGTCTTAATATAATGCTTTGGTTATGATGGGAGCTCTATGAAGCTTGCAGGGAAGAAAACCTCTTTAAAAGTCTAAAACTAAGTAAGCATGCTAGAAATAGGAGAAAACTGTTAAGAGTTGAAAGAACTAGCCCTTTTCCATAACGTTTTGGCATTCACTACAGTGGATATCTTTCATCAGCATGAATCTCGAGACACCTGTATGTTGGTGCTGGTGGTATTTTTTCAGTCTTGAATATTTTAACTTAGTACTTCTGGGATTAGTGGGAAAATTCTCCAGGTTTATCCACTTTCTTTCCCATTGTCCCTATAGAGAGAATATACTGAATATACTGCTGATGTTACATCAGAAGAAATACCTTTGGTTATATTTTTATGCTTTACACTATTTTTATGCTTTACACTATATATTTTTATGCTTTACACTACATTAGTAAAAAAAAATAAATTTTGTGCTGCCTTCATTATGTTTTTGCCTGTTTTCTTTTAGTCTGTGTTCCAGTAGATTGCTTTGGAGAAGAAACTTGATGGCCATGTTTTAGCCTTGTTTATTTGTTTATTTAAAATGAGAGAGCGCCTAGGTAAAAAGGTTTTTTTAATTATATTTAAAAAATCATTAAACTTTTCTTAATCTCATACATGTTTCTCCTGCATTGTGTCATTTATGAGCAGCATGAAGCTCTATTAAATTCAGTGAAGCAATCTAGCAGCAAACCACGCAATGCAAGATATAAGACATACTGGGTATGTTCAGTGAACATCTGCTATTTAATTTATATTAAAACCCACTGAAGATCCACCCTCTTTTTGACTCAAAGCTATGCCTCATTTTTGCTACTATTGATCAGGGGCCCAGTGGTAAAAAGTGTTGTTGTTGGGACAGTTTGCACAAAGCAACTTTTAAAATCCCCCATAATAAAGTAAGTAAATTAGTAGGTACACTTTTATTTGGACTGTGTCATAGCTGTATTCTCTTTAAATTTGGCTCTGTTCCATTCATTTAACATTTAATAAAGTCAAATAAAGGAAAATATAACAGAATATATACACTTCAGATTTCTATATATGCAACATAATACCAGTGCCAGTAGGGATATGTACATTGCCAATCCATGCTGCATTGCAATAGGTATTTCACTTTACAGTTTGGCGGTAAACTTAGTATAAGATTTTTGTTTATTCAGCTCAGCTCTGCCTTTGAGGTATTTAGGTTTCAGATTCTATTGAAGCTGGGAGAAATTGAGAATGCTTAGCACCTCACAGGGTCAGAAAGAAACAAAGCAAAGATGATTTTGCATTTTGTTTATGTAATCTGTTTTTCACATCAGTAAAACACTTTTCAAGTGCACTTGGTTTGTTCAGACAAGGAATACTGGAAAGGTAGTATTATAAGCAAGTTTTATTTGAAAATGCTGCCTGTTATTCCACATGGAGTTACTCAGTACTTTTTCTTTTTGTCTTAGAGCTGCCATTTTATAGCAAATTCTTCCTTTAACTTTACAAAAGCTAATTTATAGGCTCCTTGATTTTTCCCACAGGACTTTCAAATGCTCATATCTGTCTTTTTTCCCATAGCAATCTTATGGAGGTATGGGCAGGTCTATCTGGCTCCAGATAGCTGAGTCTGCTTACAGGTTCACTTTGGGCTCAATTGCTGGAGGTGAGTGACATGTCTATGTACTGTTTTCAAGCCTGGGTTAATGTAATATTATCCTGCTAGACTAACTAAGCTGTAAGGTGCATTCCATTGTTCTGAATGACAAGAACTGGAGGGCTCTGTGAAGTGCTCTTTATTTATATCTATGTTCGCAAAATATGACAGGACACTGATTTGGTACCTCTGGCTCCAGACAGTCTTGAGGGTGACACATCCATCATGACATGGGCCTTCCAGAGACAGTATGGCACTCCAATTAATTATACTTGATAAGAGTAATGCCAAATATGTAGGAACAAAACTTGAATAAAAGTTGGTAGATAATTATTTTGCTGTCTGTCAAAGAATTTTTCTTCTGTTAAGGGGGGTGGGGGTGTGTGTGTGTGTTAAAAAAAGGGGGAAGAGCACTTTAATATTCCTTTAAAAAACTCTAAGTTGTATTTTTGGCACATGAAGGTCAGTGCTTGCAAAAGCTTTGGTAGGCTTTGAGTTTTTTTTAATTATGGTGACGTTTTTGCTTCAGAGGTATTGTATACGTGTGGATGAAATTCAGTTCCATCTGCCTCCATACATCTTGAATAAATGGGTACGAATAGTGAATAATGGAGGGGTTACGAGGGTCAGAATCAACAACTTGCAGCAAGGTAGTTCTGTGTCTGTTGCAGCCCTGATTTGCTATGCAAGTCCCTGAACAAGTGTGTGCTCTACATGTGGAGGTGGGGGCCCCCACCTCTCATGCTCCCCTCTGTGGTGTTACGTGCAGAACCGATGTGGGACTCAACACATACAGGAGGTATAGAATGTCACTGAGCCCGTGCTTCACAGCTCCCCAGCCAATCCTGCAGCAGAATGGTTAGGGTTACCCTGTATTCTAAGCTTTTTCACGTTTCCTGCTTTTGGGCAAGGGGGGAGACATATTTTTTTAAAGCTTCTCATCTCTCTGATATCTAAACACTAGGGCTGTGTGAAGCTTCAGTTGCTGATTTGATTTGGTGGAGATTCAGCCTGATTCAGTCGCCGAATTGCTGAATCTGAATCAAATCAGGAGACCCTTTAATCTCTCCAAATCGAAACGGAACGCTCTGAATCGATTCGGAGAGATTCAATGATTCAGCCATAGACACAGCTTTAGATGTTTTTTCTACATACTTTAAAGTACCAGGTGGCTCATGAATGCTGAGATGGTGGAGCAGATGGAGTGTCCCACGGGAGCACCAAAGGGTCCCCAGCGCACTTGGCAATGGACCCGGAAGTGGACCAGAAGCACTTCCAGTCCACTTCTGGGTCCACTGCGGAGTGCACGGGGGACCCTGCCCCCCAGCTCGGCATTTGGTGCCTCCTGGGTCTGGGTGGGGCAGCCAGGGTCCCCCCACAGCCAATGACAGAGCCAGGGGGATGCGGGAGGGATTTCCCGCGCTCCTGTGGGACCCTCCATCCGCTGCAGCATTCACAAGCTATGCCTGGTACCTCAATGTGATGACTTAAGTGGGCGTGGTGACTACCGTACCTTCTTCTTGTACCAGGCCACTCCCCCCCCCCCCCCCCCCACCCCTTTGGCCCGGGCCCCCCCCCCCCCCCCCCAAATCTCCTGCCACCACTTGATGTTACTGGGAAAAAGGAGGGGTTCAGTGCTGTTCCTCTTCTCGGGGGACTCAGTGATGGGGGTATTTACATTCATGCCACGATGTTCCTCGGGGCTCCGCCTCCTCTACACCCCATCGACTCACCAACCGCTTGAGTGTTGCTTGTGTAGTTCCGCTGCCCTGTGAGCCCCTCTGCTAAGGGGTCAGGCATTGACTTTGGCTCCGGTAGGTTTGCCTGGATGTTACGGCAGCTGGAGCCCCAGACCCTGGTGCCAGAAGGCTGGGTTCCCATTGTCTGGCATCCCTCTCTCTCCCCAGAAAGAGACGCTTTTTATCAACTGCAAAATGTAGGTCACTGCGGGGGGGATGTGCATCCTCCCCAGCCTAATGCAGGGATGCTGTTCTCCCTGCCCCAGATACAGGCTCCATGCCTGCAGCAATGCTCCTGCCAGCCGCAGGAGTCACACCACGCCTGGTGTCCTCCCCGCTGGCTCTCTCTCCCTCCTCTCCCCACTGCTGGCTTCTGGCGGGGTTTTTAAATTTTCCCATAGCGGCATCTCCTGCCGCTGCCATTGGCCTGGTGCTCCCCCGCCCCAGGAGCAGCTGTTTGAAGAGCCAGCGTAATGCCGGCTCGCACGTCCGCAGCTCCGGTTCCAGCTGCGCTCCCAAAGGTAAGTTTTCCAGGATGAGGGGGCCTGTTTGTCCCACACAATTGGCTCTCGGGGTCTCTCCCAGCCCCCCTTGGAGCCTGTGGGGGCTTCTCGCCGCCACAGACATCCCCACTTAAACTGCCTTGTGGCGTCTGGACCTTTTGTATGGCCTCCCAAATAGCCTGATGTTCTTTCTCATGTGCTTGATGTGCCTCCTCGCCTGGCTCCTCCAAGCTGAAACATCTAGAGAGAAAATCCGCCACTAGATTATCCTTGCCGGGGCGGTGCATTACCATGAACTTGAAAGGTTGAAGAGCCAGTGCCCAGCGGGTAATGCGGGTATTTTCGCTTTTTTTTTTTGGTTAACCACTGCAGTGGGGCATGGTCCATCACCACCAGGAACTCCCGGCCCATCAAATAATATTTAAAATATCCTATTGCTCAGTGTATTGCTAGGCACTCTTTCTCTGTCGTGGTGTACCTAGTTTCGGCTTGGCTGAGTTTGCGGCTTGCGAAGGCGATCAGACGCTCATCTTTCCCTCATCTTTGCAGTAGCACAGGTCCTAGGGCACTGCAGGATGCGTCCATCTGTAAAATAAAAGGGGCAGAGAAGTCAGGAGTATGTTCCACCACATTGCGGCACATAGTCTCCTTCAGATCCTCGAAGCTTCTTTTCATCTTGGATGTCCACTTTAGCATCTCTTATGATCTCCCATTAAGGGTATCTGTGAGGGGTGCGGCGAGTTCCGCAAAGTGCGGCACATGTCTCCGATAATAGTTGATGAGCCCCAAGAAGGAACAGAGTTGCTAACGGTTGCATGGTTCTTGAAATCATCATATTGCCTCCGCCTTGTCCGCCAGGGGTTGGATGGTTCCCCATCCTATACAAAACCCCAAGTACTTAGTTTCTGTACCTGCCAGTTTACATTTTTTTGGATTGGAGGTCAACCCAGCTGTTTGAAACTCTCCCAAAACTGCTCTCAGGGCCTCGAGATGATGGGGCCAATCTGAGGTGAAGATGATGATGTCATCGATATAAGCCACTGCATATGCCGTGTGTGGTGCCAACAGGGTGTCCATAAGCCTCTGAAAGGTAGCCGCCGCTCCATTCAGCCCGAAGGGCCTCCGTACGAATTTGAACAGGCTCCAAGGGGTTCCGAAAGCGGTTTTGGCACAGTCTGCGGCTCGCATCAGAATTTGCCAGTACCCTTTGACTAGGTCGATGGTGGATATGTATATGGCTTCCCTGATTCTCTTGACAAGGTGGGCAATATGAGGCATGGGGAATGCGACGAAGGTCGCTAATGTATTTAACTTTCGAAAGTCAGTGCACAAGCGGAGTGATCCATCAGGTTTAGCCACTGGCACAACTGGACTGCACCATGGGCTTCAGGACAGCTGGATTAATTCCCTGCTTCCACATTTTTTCAATCTCTTGAACTTCCCGTTGCCGTCGTTGGGGTATAGGCCTCCATCTCTCCCTGACTAGTATGCCGGGCAGTGTCCTGATCTTCTGCTCAATTCTCTGCACTCGCCCTGGGGTTTCTTGGAACACATTCCGGAAGGCTTCTATCACCTCCTCCAGTTCCCATCGTTGATCGGTATCCAAATCTTCCCCTAGTTGCACTTGCCCCTTCAGTGTGGATCCCCCTAACTCTAAGCAAGGGGGTCCCAGCTCCTCTACTGTCTCCTCTTTTTGCACCAGCCAGCCTTGAGGAAGTTTACATGGTAAATTTGACGCTCGCGATGGTGTCCGGTCTTGAGCACTTCATAATCTACTGGGCCTACTTGGTGGATCACCTTAAATGGGCCTTGCCCATTGCGGGGTGTTTACTTGTTGACGCTGGAAACGAGACTAAGACCATGTCCCCTGGTCAGAATGTTCTGGGTTTCGTTCTTCTATTATACTGGGTCTCCTGTTGTTCTTGCGTGACTCACAGATTTTGGCAAGCAATCCACTGGGCCTTGTTGATCTGGTCTTGTAGCTCCTGTCGGTACCTTTCAGCTACTATTCCGGGCCCCACCAGCCTCTCCTATTCCTCCTGGACCATCTGTAACAGATGCCTGGGACTGTGCCAATATACTAGCTGGAAAGGTGAGAACTGCATTGACTCTTGGGGTGCATCTCTTAGGGCAAACAGTGGCGGGGTCAATATGGTATCCCATCTATGGGTGTCCTCCTGTGCACACCACCTGAGCATCCTTTCGATGGTCCCGTTTTGCCTTTCGACTAAGCCATTTGTCTGGGGGTGATAAACCAGTGTTCTCAGGTGGGTGATGCCGAGGGTGCTACAGAGAGCCTTCATCACACCTGACAAAATTCGTCCCCTGGTTAGCGAGTATTTTGTGTGGGATTCCTACCCTAGCGATCCATTTTAGGAGCTCTTCCACCACGCGAGTAGCCATAATAGACCTGAGTGGAACTGCCTCTGGGAACCCCTTGGCATAATCCACTAGGACTAACACATATTGGTATCTTCCGTGAAACTTTGGTAGGGCCTCACAATGTTGAGCGCTACGCGGGAGAACGGTGTCTCAATTATGGGCAAGTGTTGCAAGGGTGCCCTCGGCGGTCTCCATTCCTGGGCTTTCAGGCACTCTGGGCAGGCCACTCCCCATCTCTCTACGTCTTCTTGTACATGTGGCCAAAAATAGTCCCAGACTAGTCTCGCCTGGGTTTTGGTACACCCTAAATGACCGCCTAGTAGGGAGTTGTGTGCCAATTTCCAAATTTGTCGGCGAAGCCTTTCCGCCATCCCCTCCTGACCTCTCTGGACCTGGTATAGTAGGCCCCCCTATTATCTCAAAGCTGGAGTGGCTTCTGGACATCCCGTCTCCTGGGTCCTCTGTCCCTAACCATTGGAGCTCTGGGTCTTCCCGTTGAGCCTGGCGGAACTGCACAGTGCTGGCCACCTGCTCCACATCAATGCAGTCCCGGACAGCTTCACTCTGTGGGGGGACGGTTTCTTCAGCCCAGCATTCCCCTCTTCTTAGTCGCTTTCTCTCCTCCTCGGTCAGTCGCACACGCTCAAGTACCATGTAAAATGGCCTCCATTCTCGGCCCAAGATCATCTCACAGGCCAGCGCTGGGGCCGAGCTGACCCGTGGTTCGCCTCTGAATTCCATTACCTTTAAGGGGAGGTAGCAGCTCCGAAAGCACATCTTGCCACCCAAGATGCAGATGATTACCAACCGTCCAGCTTCTTTTACTCCGGTTCGCAGGGCCAGATCCGCATGGAGGAGGGACTGTGAGTATCCAGTGTCCAGGGTCGCCCTTACTGCCCGATCCAGGCTGTCACAACCGGATGGTTCCAGCCTCCCTCATGTGCGGTAGAACCAGAGCTGCAGTCCATGGGTTCACCTCAATCCCCTTCCTTCGCCCTTTTTTGGGGCAGGGTGGATGTAGCCAAACCACAGCCCAGTTCGCTAAAGCCCAGTCCGCATTCCTCACAATATGTCCGGCTCAACCACAGCAGTAGCAGACAGCACCCCTCAATGTCCCCTTCTGCAGACCTATTCACTTCTCTCTCCTTCTCTCGCTGAGCTTCTTATTGGGGAACGGAGGCATCGCCCCCGACCATGCTCATTCTCTGAGCTGATGAAAGCCTCTGCGAGGCGAAGGACTTCGTCACTGGACTGAGGTTGGTGCTTCCTTACCCACACCTGGGTATCCTCCTCCAAGTCCCAGAGGAATTGCTCCAACAGGACCTGATCTATGACACCCTCCAGGTCGAACCAGCCTGTGGGAAGCCATTTATTGAGAGCTTCTCACAGGTACTGTAGCAGACTGTGAGGCCTCTTAACTTCTCTGGATTTCTGGGCTTGAAATGCCTGCCTGTGGCTCTCTGGAGAAATCTTGAGCAGATAAAGGATCACAGCCTTCGCCGTGTCATAGTTTCAGGCATCTTCCCTTGACAGGGCCCGATAGGCTGCTTGGGCTTGGTCTACCATCAGAGCACCCAACTGGTGGGCCCACTGGGTGCAATCTAACCTAGTCTGAAGGGCTGTTCTCTCAAGTGCCTCTATGTAGGCCTCGGGATCATCGTCCCGTGTCATTTGCGGCATCTTAAACAGGGTGGCATTATGTTGCATCCACTCCTGCTGGTGGGCCCCCTGCGGGTGCTGTATCTCCAGCACCTGCTCTATTGCCTGAATGGCTTGCGTCAGAAGCTCCGCATGAGCTACTGCTGGCGCCTGCATGCCTGTTTTGGCCTGGGTTGGGATCCCTGATTTGCTAATGCAGAAGCTGCCATTCCCAGCCAGTGCACCACTGTGATGACTTTAGTGGGTGTGGCGAGTACCGTACTGTCTTCTTGCACCAGGGCACCCCCCTCAACTCACCTGCCATGACTTGATGTTATTGGGAAAAAGGAGGGGTTCAGTGCTGTTCCTTTTCTCAGGGGACCCAGTGACAGAGGTACTTACATTTGTGCCGCGATGTTCCTCAGGGCTCTGCCTCCCCTACACCCTGTCCACTTGCCGATCGCTTGGGTGTTGCTTGTGTAGTTCCGCTGCCCTGTGAACCCCTCTGCTAAGGGGTCAGGTGTTGATTTTGGTTCCGGTAGGTTTGCCTGGATGTTACAGCAGCTGGAGCCCCAGACCCTGGTGCCAAAGGGCTGGGCTCCCATTGTCTGGCATCCCTCTCTCTCCCCAGAGATGCTTTTTATCAACTGCGAAATGTAGGCCGCTGTGCAGGGGGTGTGGATCCTCCCCAGCCTAATGCAGAGACGTTGTTCTCCCTGCCCCAGATGCAGGCTCCGTGCCTGCAGTGACACTCCTGCCAGCCGCAGGAGTCACACCATGCCTGGCATCTTCCCCGGTGGCTCTCTCTCCCTCCTCTCCCCCTGCTGGCTTTTGACGGGGCTTTTAAATCTTCCTGCGGCGGCGTCTCCTGCCTCCGCCATTGGCCTGGCACTCCCCCGCCCCAGGGACAGCTGGTTGAAGAGCCGGCGTAATGCCGGCTTGCATGGCCGTGCTCTGGTTCCAGCTGCGCTCCCAAAGGTAAGTTTTCCTGGGTGAGGGGGGCCTGTTTGTCCCGCACAGGGGCTCTCAGGGTCTCCCTCAACCCCCTCGGAACCTGTGGGGGCTTCTCGCCACCATACTCGAAGTATGTAGAAAAAACATTTAAAGTTGTGTCTATGGCTGAATCGCTGATTCTCCAAATCAGCATCAAATCTTCAGATTTGGATTTGGCTGAATGGAATTAGGACAGTGATCTGAATCAATGAATCGAATCACTATCCCCTGATTTGGGCCAAATCCAAATTGAATACGGCCCGTTTCGCACAACCCTACTAAACACCAGGAAAACATCAATAGTTTTATTTTTCTGACATTTTTAGGAAGTAGAGAAGTCCTTGCAGGCCTGAGGCCTGAAAGTGACTTTGGCCCCATCTACGTGTTACACTTAAGGCATGATTAACCAGTTAACCATGCCTTACGTTGTGACCCAGCTACATAGTCAATCAATTAACAGTGAGATAAATCAAGGAATAAGACACAAAGGTATTCCACAAAGATGTGTAATAGCTTTGGCCTGTTCTTATAATGCCTGTAATTCAGTGTGTGGCCAGTGACTCCCCTGTGGTTGGGCGCCCCATCATCTGGACCGCACTGTGCCCCTACTGAAAGACCTGTCAGATGAGGGACTCACAGCAGCAGGAGCCAGTGCAGGGGGATCTGGTGATTACAATCTCGAGCTCCCCCTGTACTGGCAGTAAGGCATGATTGGATCTGGTGGTGGATCCCACAGTCATTATTGTGTGGATCATGCATCAGATTCTATCATGCCTTGACCTGAACATATAAAGGGGCACTTGCTGAAAGTTTATGCAAGAATGGTATGGCAAAGTAGAGAACAGATATCAAATGTCTGATCAGAAAAGTTTTATCAAAACAGTTGGCAATGGAAGATGCTATTTCAAAGAAACCAACTTTCTGTGCAGTTTCATTCATTTTAATGAAATATTTTAGACATTTTTTCAGAAAATGTTTGTTTCGGAAAAACCATTTTTTATAGCATATGTATGTAAACACTAAGAAAATGAAAATTAAAATAGATAGCATTTCACAACAGGTATAACAGCATTTAATATGATGTACTACTTTGACATGGCATTAAAAGGATATTTCAAAATAAGATTTTTAAAGAATCAAAAAATTAAATTTTCTGAAACATTTAGGAATTTGAATTTTTCAGGAAATTAAAAAAATATTAGTTTTTATTTTTATATGGAATGAAAACTAATTTTGATGTGCTAGCTTTCTGTGAAATGGAAATATTGAGTTTCAACAAACTAGTTTTGAGTCCCAGTTAAATACATGACTGTCCATTCTCACTGGGTGAGAGTTTGAAATAAGTGCAGAATAATCTTGATGCAAACTAATACTTCCTAGAGCATAAGAAATATCTTACAAATATCCAAAATGTATTGCACCAGTTAATAGAAAGTGCATGGCATGGCATTCATCACTCTTATTTTTAATGCTAAATAGTAAGCGCTAAGAAAATAACAATTTCAGTATTTATACTGCAGTTCTATCCCTTTGATATCAGGCAGTACATGAGTAGTTACTTGACTAAATACGTTTTCATGGCACTATTGTAAAAACTTTTTTTAATATCCATGCCTGTTAAAACTTTTTTATGCCATTTCTTTTTGTCATGTACTACAGCAGATTAGTAATGTGACTCTAAATCATGAATATTTTTATATCTAAGCATAACTAATTAGATGGTATTAAAATGTTTGAATAAAATAAGGTTATAACTCCTTGATGGCTGTCTGGACTACCTAAACAGACTTTCTCCACTGAAAATTAGACCTTTCTTTATTTTTGTCCAGCTCTATTCTTTCTTCCAATCCTCTCTAATTTCTACCTACTCTTTCCTCAAGCACATCCTCCCTGTTTTACTGTCTTCCTTCTTCTCCACTCAAAATCTTGCAGGTTTCTTACAGATGAAATTGACCACATATGATATGAGCACATGACTTCTTTCTTAGCCTTATCCTCTGAAGGCTTTTTACCATCTTTCTTCCAGTTTTCAGGCCTGTGAGATTCCCCATTTTCTTTTTTGCCTGGTGCCTCCCCTTTCTCTTATCCAGGTCTTGCCTCGTCTGGCTCCTTTGCCTTCAATCATGCATTCTTTCATATCTATTAAGACACTTACTCATAAACCTACCTGCTATTTCTTGTTGCCACACCTTCTGCCTACCTTTCCTCAAAATAACTTAAACATTTTACTTATTTTGGGTGTTTCAACTGCCTATTTTCCTGGTGCCCGTTCTGTTCAATTTTTCTCTTTCTACTTCTCTAAAACTTTTATCCCAGTAACTAAGGTCAGTATGGCTACTGGGATGGGATCCTGAATCTCTAACACTTTATTAAATGTAACAAAACAGTTCAGTCTCTTTTGGTGCCACTTTTTCTATGCTTCCGTACTTGCCATTCTGTTTTTCTACCCCTTGGAAAATTTATCCACTTCTGTTCTTTTGTTATTTTGGTAACTGTTTGAAAACTGATATGTCATGACAGTTGTGTGTCACACATGCATGCTGGGGTGTTGTAGAAATAATATTTGTGATGTTTTTTGATAGCTGTGGGAGCCACTGCTGTGTACCCCATAGACCTCGTGAAGACACGTATGCAGAATCAGCGCACCTCTGGTTCAGTCGTGGGAGAGCTGATGTACAAAAACAGCTTTGATTGTTTTAAAAAAGTTTTACGTTATGAAGGCTTTTTTGGTCTTTATAGAGGTAAGCAAATAAAATACAGGTATCAAGTTGTTTGTTTGTTTTTTCCATTAAGTGCCTCAACAGCTAACCCCTTGTAGGAAATCTAAGAAACTTAGGTATGCAGAACAGTTTTGCTTGTATTTGCATAGATGATTATTGTTATGAAGAACACTTGATTAGAAAAGTTACACTTGTTTCTTTGGTGCATGTTTGCTCTTTGCTACTTACATTGTTTGAAGACCTAATCCACTGAGATATTATCAGTGTTGTAGACATGACTGTTCTCTCACAAAGGCTTATTACTTTAGAAGAAAGATAAACAACAGGAACAGATGAGCCTCTAAGGAACAAAGGTCTCATTTTAACACATATTTGTTATAATGAGTAAAAATACTCTTTGTCTACATTATGTCAAATTTGAAATGTAGTATCTGAGCTAGGAATCATCTTGCTTCTTGCAATTGCCACAAGTAGTCCCATGATTGTAACAGGTTTTTTCATGTGAATGACAAGTGGGATTTGTTTCAGAGCTTTCCTATTGAAATGTATCCCTAGGAACAGGTAAATACTGATTGAGATCTTGGTACGGTTGGGAGTGGGGAGAGAGGGGGGCTGTTGTGTGTTAATTCTAACATTGTGAATAAGTCACTTGTATTTTTTTGTTGTTGTTGTTTTTTTTTACACCAAATCAGAGGATTGAAAAATGTAAAGCTGCTTTTTTATCAGGTAGACAGTTTCAGATACACAAATGTAAGAGCTTCATTTCCTAGTTTAGCCCAGGAGGATGTTCCAAGAGCATTCACTAGTTCAAGTTAGTAACTCCTATGATAGACAACCTTCCAGTTGGTCATTTAAAGACTGAGGTTTAAGGATCTCTTGCTTCCATTTATTTTACTGACCATTCATATAACTTACGGAATTAATTTACTTTCCAAGGTTGCTATTTTTACACAAAAACAATACCCACCTCCCCTTAATTCATGTTTAAAATAAGATCTCAGACTCTATAATTCTCCTTGCCCTACCTGGTGCATTGACAGTAACCCCCCCCCTGCTTTTTTTAAGTTAATATGTTTGCATTGGAGCTTCTTGGCATGAACTTGTCCCACTTTTTATTATTACTAACTCTTCCTTTTTATTATCTCTGTAACTTGACAAATTTTTACGTGCTAGAAGGTGTTGGCTGTTTGTTTTCAAATGATGATAGGGTGCTTAAATATTTTGGGGAATACATTTAATAATTGTTTTTACAATCCTATCACATTTTTAGACTACTTTTGTCTGTCTAAAGCATGAAGTTTTTCGAACACATTTTAGGTACCTTGATACAAAGTTACTTCAGTTTATAGCGTTAGATTGTCTCCAGAGACATGTCAGACAACTCTTAATTGAAGTTTATATGGAAATGGAAAGGTTTTTTGTTACATTCACTGAAGAGATTAACTGTGTACCTTTAGTTAGATTAATTAATTTGATTAAATTGTATTCAGATGTTAAAAAATAATGCTGACTTATTGTGCAAGTATTTATTACACAAATTAGACAGAAATGTTTAGCTATTGCAATATTTAGCTATTGCAATACTTATTTATTTTAATTCAAAACAAAAATCATAAGGCTCTTGAATCTGGGAACCCAACTCCAAAATTAATTCTGAAATGTTTTTAAGATTCAGCACATTCTAGCACTGGAGCTCATGCTCTCTAAAGCACAGATTTACATTATGTGTTCACATACTGTATTTAACTTTACATAAAATGCAGTGGGAGATGTGTCTTATGTTTTGTCTAGTTTTTTTTAAACTGTAGGCTCTGTAGATCTGGATCTTTCTTTTCACAGTATATCAGAGATTCAAGATGGGAGGGCACCATTTCTTTTTGTTATTGTCAGCCTTTCTCTACATTTAATAACTACCTTTCCTTAGCATAGCCTGTAAATCACACAAAGTACAGTGTTGGACTAGAACAAGATATTGCATATTAGTTGTTGATCCTTTTATGTAGGTGCATATTTATTGTGGGTTTTCTTATGTGAAGGTACTCCATAAATTAAACAGGCTGAATGTAATGGGTGATCTTAGGCCTGCCTCCTTTATTGGTTTATTAGATAAAAACATATACGAAAATATTTTCTTTCTGCCTTACTAGTCACACAGTGGGAAATCTGTATTTTTATTGCAGTGTTACTGAAGGTGTCTGTGGTATAGAACTGATCTGTTTTGTTTGTTTGCTTGTTTTTTCCTGGTAACACATCTGGTGACAGCTTATGCATAATATTCCTTCAAACTACAGTAATATAAAAAAAATCTGAACAAATATGCCATTCTGTGTGTATTTTATAACACTTAGAAAAATGTAAAGTGCTAAAGAGTTTGAATAAATAATGCTGATATAATCAGGGATGTTAGGAAGTTAAGACTGCCATCTACTGCTTTATCTTTTAAATCAGTCTGCTCATTGGAGCAGCTTTGGTGGTTGGAAATTCAGATTGACCAACAGCACAGATGCAAGGATATTTGCTGCTGTTTATAAGTAAAAAAAATAAAAATGGATTAGGATTTTGACAGACTTGCTGCTCTTGATAGAAGACATTTCTGAATAGGACTGGGGTGCAGGCTCTCAGGTTGGCTTGAATAGGTAGAAATCCATTAAATCAGTGATTTGCAACCATTTTGTATGTTTATTTCCATAATTTAAAAACATATAATATGCTATCATATCGTGCAAGGAAAGCTATACATATGAGAAATAGTATAGTCCATGTTCTAGTAAACAGAGAGAATAGAAAAGGCAACACATAACTGTATTTTAGTGCTTTGCTTAAACATCTGCCAGCCTCCGTTTGTTTGCTTATTTATTTGTTTTTTAAATTTCAAACACTTTTAAGTTATTTTCAAAACTCACCCTAGTTTGGAAAACCTGATACTGTTCTTTATGGGTTTAATTCTAGCTGAATAATTCCTGCTTTATCAAAAGTACAAGACGTACTTCTGAAAAGAACAGGTTCAAGCTTATTCTATGCCCTCAGTGTACCACAAGGATCAAAGTATTGGGTAGCCTTTTGTATACTTTAGTATCACTCACCCATGCTGTAAATATACAGTTGTGCACTTCAGGGGACACAGGTTCTGAGTAACAGGGCAAAAATACTTTTGTGAATGCTGAAAAACCTTGTGTGAACAACCATTATAGGCACCCATCACCTTTTTTCTTTACTGCCACAATTTCTGGTTTAACTTGATTGTGGAAGGGGGGCCAGATTATCCTTTGTATTACTATTTTCAACAGAAGTCTTAAAACATTTACTGACATATAAAATATCCTTGTTCAGGACCTAGAGCTACACATATAAAATATCCTTGTTCAGGACCCAGAGCTGTAGCCAGCTTCACATGCAAGATTGACACTGATTATCAGAAGTGGAGCGTATCAGTGCTGGACTCTTATAAAATTATTAAATTTTGAGCTAATTATTTATTTTATTTTTATAGGGTTGTTACCACAGCTTATAGGTGTTGCTCCAGAAAAGGCTATTAAGCTCACAGTAAGTATCCTTTTTCTAAATTAAACTAATTGTACCCCTTATTTTTTTTCAAATTTGTACTCATTGAATCCATTTTTTTCTGACATATTGTGTTCATAAAAGCACCTAGAATTTATTTCCTGAAGTGCTTGAATGATATTCTTCTGAGTGTTTCAATAAGCTTGGTTACAAAAATATGTGATATGCTTTGAAAAATATATTCAAGTAGAAAACTGATTATCCTCTTTTTTTTTTCTTTTCTTAATTAGGTTAATGATTTTGTCAGAGACAAATTCACTCAGAGAGATGGCTCCATTGCATTATTGCCAGAGATCCTTGCTGGGAGTTGTGTAAGTATCCATTCTGGATTCTCAGCCCCAGAAAGAGAATTTCCACCCTTCCAACCCACTCAGAATGACAGCTAGCATATAACTCATGTTTCATGAGACTGAGCAGAACCATCCCCAGCTACATAGACACAAAGAATGGGAAAAATTATTCAGAAAACTGTGTGCTTACTGTGTTGGGCTCTGTAGACATTAGTTGTATGCTTTCCTCATATTTATTCAAATACTCTGGTTCCAGTCCTATGAATAGAGCCAGCATCTCTATGCTCCTGGCTTCTTCCCAGTTTTCTGACATAACTGATATGAGATGTGCTGGCCAAAGCTGCAGAATATATAAGCCCTTCTGCATATTGCTTTAAGTTGTGTAGATGAAATGAGCACCTGCTTTTGTTGGTGGTTACTCTAAATGAATCTTCCACATGAAAGCCTGTTGCTCTGCAGGGTATGCTTTGTTGAGTGGCTATTCTCCAGCTGCACCCTCTCATTACTTACCACACATCCCAACTTAGTCAAGGCAGTGTGTTGCTTCCAGGAGTATATTCCAGATACTCAGAAAGGGTGCTGTTCCTCCCTTTCCATACTTGTGGACACATTTGAATGATATTTATTTTTAGCATGGAGAGGTTCCTGTGGCTCATTATAACTAGCAGGGTGCTTCAGAAACTAACAGCAAAATGGATGTAAACGAAGTAGATAACTACACAGCAGTGGGAAACACTGATTGTGACATTGTCGAACACACTCATCATTTTATGCTGAACACGTGTTATGTTAGTGAGCACGTAAATAACATGGCTACAGTGCTGTCAGTGTGCATAAAAGAATAGTGTTGTCATTGTGTGTGTGTGTGTGTGTGCGCGCGCGCGCTACTTAGCAAAATTCACCATAGAATTTTAGCACAATACAGTGAAAATTGTATAGCTTGGTAGAAGGTCTGTGTGTGGCTGGAGAAGTTCAAAAATAGCCACACCGCCATAGTGAACCCCAGGCAGTATGCCCCATCACAACCATGACAGAAGACAAACACCATTGTACATGTGAACAAGCAAATGAGCCTTCCTGAACTATTGGCAGAAATAGGCATAAACGCTGGCTGTACCCATGCCACTTTGCACAATCACTTGAATTACGGGAAAGTGTGTGCCCATTGGGTGACAAAGCAACTGACAGATGTGCATAAATGTGAAACTGTGTATCCAGCTTCTGCAATGTGTCTGGGATGAAGGTGAGGGGTTCCTTTCGTGCACCATCACTGGGGATGAGATCTGGGTCCACCATTATGATCCAAAGAGCAAAAGGCAGATCATGTAGTGGAAACACACATCATCACCACTGGCCAAAAAGTTCTTCACTCAACCATCCTCCAGCAAGAACTTTCTCATCCCATTTTGGGATACTATAGGCCCACTACTTGTCCGCTTCATGGAGTGTGGGGTCATGATCAACAGTACCATTTCTTACCATGTTCTACAAAACACCTGATGCCAGCTATTTAGACCAAATGGAGTAGAAAGCTCAATCAAGGTGGTTTTTCTCCAGCATGACAATGCATGGCTACACTGTGCATGGATGACTGCCAAGACTTTGCATGGACTGGGCTTTGAAATCTTACCATGTTTGCCCTAAAGTCTTGATCTTGTGCCAAGTGATTACCACTTGGTTAGACCATTGAAGGATGCTCCTCAGAGGCGCAGATTTGTCAGTGATGCAGTGCAGGAGTGGCTGTCACAGCAGCCAAAAAGCTGCTTTTGAGGATAGCATCAAGAAACTTGTGACCTACAGAAACACCTGTGCCACAAAGAAGTTGACTATGTAGACTAGTGATGTGGTCCCATAAATGATCATTGCACACAAAATGGATTCCAAAATTACTGTTAGTTACTGAAACAGTCTTATAATTATAAGGATACAGTCGACAATTATAGGCAGCTTTCCTAACAGAAAAAGAGTGATTTTTAAACTCTAGAAAAAACAAAAGATAATACTTGTTCACTTGCTGCTGTAAAACTGTATTCTGTGATCACGTGAATCTAAAGAGGTCTCAGTTCAAGCTGGCTTTCTTGTTTATCTGCTTGTTTCTTACATAAAATGTATTTACAGCTTTTAACTACAATCAGCATGTACATATTGTAGACAGACATGTAAATTGTATTTATGCTGGGGATAAGGTCTGTAATGTGGTTGTTCTGAGCAATCTGTAATTGGTTCAAGTTTATAATGATGACAGACTTGTGTTTGTATCTTGGCTAATTTGTGGGATTTCCCAACATTTGTTAACAGTATAAAATGTTTGAGACTGGGTAGGGATCCTTTTGTAGCAGAGAACCCTAATAACTTCCAGTTGAGTAGGCTGACAGGCTAGAATAAAACCTCCTCAGCTTGCAACAAAACCTAGGGCAATAAGGTTGTTGACCTCTGCAAACTTTTAATTCAGAGAAGCAGCCCTGGAGGGAGGCTGCTTATAGTTCTCCCTGATTAGATTTGGCAGCATGGTACATGCTTGAGTCTTCACCTGTCAGTGTACAAAGTTTACTTTCAGGGAAATGTGAGAAAGGAGCTGTGGTGTGCAGCCAGCAAAAAAACAACTGCAAACACTAACCTTTCTCTGGAAGGCCCAGTAGCACATACAACATAGGCAGATCTTTTATAACGTAGTGAATGTAATTCATTAGGGTTTTACTCTGTGCTGTGACATGTGTTAAGTTGAGAGTATTGGCAAAGCTTTTATAACAGTCACTTGACCATGAAATCTGGTAATTGGTTTCACTATGTTTTTATACCCTTTTGTACCAAAATGTTTCATACATGCACTGTAAAACCTATTCCAAAGGCCATCTCCGTATCTAAGAAGTTATCCCACCCTCTGAAGGACCTTTCCTGACACATTCTTGTGAACATATGAGTATTTTCAGCGAATGCCAAAGTAAGTTTCAGAAATTCAGATGCTTCTCTGAAGTTGAAGAGACCCCACAACCTCTCCAAACTTCGCTGTTTCCTTCAGCTGATTCCCCTCTCTATAGTTGCCTTCTTGCTGAGAGGGGGCTCTTAATTCAAGAGTGTTAGGATACGAATGGTGCACCTATTTCACTCCATTTAGGATTCTTAGG